CGGGTCCCTCTCGGCTGCAGGGGGACCCCGAGGTGCAGGGGGCCGGGGCTGCTCTCCCTCTTCTGCCGGGTGAGAAGCCGGGGGCATCCAGCCAGGCTGCGGGCAGCAGGTCTGGGCTCCAGCCCTCAGGGGTTACAGGCGGTGCTCAGCCACCAGGACGGGGGGCCGGGGCAGGTACAGCAGCCCCTACCCTGCTCTGTCACCAGCTCCCCCGCACTGCAGGCTCTCTAGGATCTAGGGACACCCCGAGGCCACCTGGGCCTCTAGAGCGGGAGAAAGGAGGAAAAACGCGTTAGAGAAACAGGCCAGGCTTTGGAGACCAGGGTGCCTCCAAACCTCCCTTTGCCACCAGCAGTTCGGAAACCTCTGGCCAAGGGCTGCCCTTGCCTCCCGGTGGGGACAGGCAGGCAGTGCCGTACGTCTACGAGACTGCAGATCAGCACGACAAATCTGGGCCGGGGGGCTGGCCCAGCTGCAAAAAAAAAGTCATTGCAGCCCGTTTGCTGTTAATGACTTGTGACTACAGACAGAGAGGCCCCTCCGTTTGAACCCTGGCTAGCACAGCCTTCCCCGCCAGAGCCAGGGCTGGTCCTGCAGCTGAGGATGCGTGAACCACCAGCCTGGCTGCTGGCTGGAGGAAAAGCAGAGCCCAGCGCCCCAGCCTTGCATGCTGAGCGCAGCAGGGAGAGGGCTCTGTCCTCGCTGCCAGGGCATGGGCTCACACAGCTATCCCTGCCCGTGGGGATGGGGGCTCTGCTGCCCAGGAGCATGCCAGGAGACACTGATGTGTCCCTCTGCAGCAGGGTCCAGATCAGAGATGCAGGATAACCTTTAAGAGAAAAGGAACAGGACACAATTCCAACTCCTATGCGTTTTTTGGCAGCAGAGTCAGGTCTCTCTGAAGACATGGGGAGAAGGTGTCTCTGTAGTGGGATCAGAGCAGTGTCCGGCATGAGGGGCAGTGACTCCTGCCCTGGTGCAGCAGCAGGCACTGCTCAGTCTCAGCCCAGGGCTCTGGTCACGGGCATGGGGAACAGCGCCAGGAGCCATGCGCAGTGGGACAAGTGCCTGGCCGCGCTCCAGGAATCGGTGCAGCCCGGTGCTGGCTCATACTTTCCCCCCCCAGCTGACACGGGTGCATGCCGGGAGGAGGAGGGCAAGGGAGGACAGCCCCTGTGGGTCAATATAGCTGGAGCATTAGTGGTAAGCAGGAAAAATTAATCTCTGGACCCAGCATGCTGGATAATGGGTAACAGAAATCTCCCATTTGCAGCTGGAGCCAGGAGCTGATATTTGGATTCCTGACCACCAGGCAGGGCAGGGAGAGGGCTCAGCACAGGGCCAACGCAGAGGACAAGCTAGGGCAGGCAGAGTGGGGCCACGTACCCCAGGGGGATGACAGAGCACCGGCAGAGCCAGACGGGGAGTAGGCAGAGGTGCTCCCAGATGGGGAACCCCATGCCTGGGCTAGGTGCTTTTCCCATCGCATCACCAGGACTCCTCCGGATCACTTTGATGGACGTGCTTGGGCACTTCCCCAGAGCATGCCATGTGTCCTGGCCATAGTCCCCTGGTATGGGGCTCTTACCTGTGTGGGGAGCAAGCCGGAGTTGGAGCAGAGCGCTGGGAGGAAGCATAGCAGCACCAGCAGCAGAGCTGAAGCACTCACCACACACCTGACCTGGCAAGAAACCGATACGGCTGGGGGGTTAGTGGGAGACACGGAGGCTCTGAAACGGTTTATTGCAAAGGATTTCTGCAGGTAACATGGGGAAGGAGCACGGTCCTTTTTGGCAGGGGCTTCTCTACTCCTCGCCCTCCTCTTCGTCCTCATAGGAGTCCAGGCCCACCTCCTCGTAATCCTTCTCCAGAGCGGCCATGTCTTCCCGCGCCTCAGAGAACTCCCCTTCCTCCATGCCCTCGCCCACATACCAGTGCACGAAGGCTCGCTTGGCGTACATCAGGTCGAACTTGTGGTCCAGGCGAGCCCAGGCCTCGGCGATGGCCGTCGTGTTGCTCAGCATGCAGACAGCCCGCTGCACCTTGGCCAGGTCTCCCCCGGGCACCACCGTGGGCGGCTGGTAGTTGATGCCCACCTTGAAGCCCGTGGGGCACCAGTCCACAAACTGGATGCTGCGCTTAGTCTTGATGGTGGCGATGGCGGCGTTGACGTCCTTGGGCACCACGTCCCCACGGTACAGCAGGCAGCAGGCCATGTACTTGCCGTGGCGAGGGTCGCACTTCACCATCTGGTTGGCTGGCTCAAAGCAGGAGTTGGTGATCTCGGCCACCGAAAGCTGCTCATGATAGGCCTTCTCTGCGGAGATGACGGGGGCGTAGGTGGCCAGGGGGAAGTGGATGCGCGGGTAGGGCACCAGGTTGGTCTGGAACTCGGTCAGGTCGACATTCAGGGCCCCGTCAAACCGCAGTGATGCTGTGATGGATGAGACGATCTGGCTGATGAGTCTGTTCAAGTTGGTGTAGGTCGGGCGCTCGATGTCCAGGTTCCTGCGGCAGATGTCGTAGATGGCCTCGTTGCACCATAAAGAGGCACAGTCCGAGTGCTCCAATGTGCTGTGTGTGGTGAGGATGGAGTTGTAGGGCTCCACCACAGCAGTGGAGACCTGTGGTGCGGGGTAGATGGAGAACTCCAGCTTGGACTTCTTGCCATAGTCAACGGAGAGTCGCTCCATCAAGAGGGAAGTGAATCCGGAGCCAGTGCCACCTCCAAAACTACGAAACACGAGGAATCCCTGGAGTCCTGTGCACTGGTCAGCCTGCAGAGAGAGCCAAGTAAGATTCCTCCAAGCACTGACTTTGCTGGAGGGAAGTTTCAAACTTTTGCTTAGGCAGCCACAGATCTCTCCCAGGGCACAGCGGGGCTCACCCCATGCTCCCACCCCCAGCAGGATGCTGGAGCCCAGCCCAGGGGACAGGTCCCCCCTTTGTGGTCACCTACCAGCTTCCGGATCCTGTCCAGCACTTGGTCGATGATCTCTTTGCCGATGGTGTAGTGCCCACGGGCATAGTTGTTGGCAGCATCTTCCTTGCCAGTGATCATCTGTTCAGGGTGGAAGAGCTGGCGGTAGACTCCTCCCCGAACCTCATCTAGGAGAGGTTAGCACAATGTCAGAGATGTTCTAACTGGCCCTGTGGAAAGGTGGCAGGAGCCACCCTAGGGACTGTCCCGCAGTGGGTTGTTCCCAGAGATAGTGACCACCGTCACTCCCCAACTGAGGTGCACTCACCGATCACAGTGGGCTCCAGGTCCACGAAGATGGCCCGTGGAACATGCTTCCCAGCCCCGGTCTCGCAGAAGAAGGTGGTGAAGGAGTCGTCCCCTCCACCGATGGTTTTGTCACTGGGCATCTGCCCGTCGGGCTGGATGCCGTGCTCCAGGCAGTACAGCCCCCAGACGGGGGTGCCCATCTGGACGCCGGCCTGGCCGACGTGGACGGAGATGCACTCACGCTGGGGAGGGGGAGGCAGGGTCAGATCCCAGCCGGGACCGCAAACGCAGTCGCTGCAGGTGGCGAGGTGCACAGCCCAGGCAGGGCAGCCCAGGCCCTCAGCGGCTTGTGCAAGCCACACTGCCCGATAGCCTGGGTGCTTTGTGTTCATCCCAGTCTGCTGCCCTCTCCCAAATCTGGTGCTCTGCCTTCCACCACTGCACTGCCCACCTCAGGGGCCCAGGGAGATGGAGACCCATCTGCTGGAGCCAGGGACACCAGGCCAGCACGTCCCTGGGCTGCCCCCACCCACAGCCCTGGGAAGCACCCAGTGAGCATCTTCTCCATTGCCTGAACACCCGCTTGGATTAAGGGCTGGAGCCTCGCAGCAGCTGGCACGGCCCCTGTTGCTACTCCAACAACAGGGCTGCTGACTGAGATGACAGAGCATCACCTGGGCACTGGGAGCTGAGGAGGTGACGGCACTGAGGATGGGTGCCCAGCAAGGGGGGGGATTTGCAGCAGTGAACGGTTGCCATGCTCTGAGGCTCGGCTTCCCTAAATTAGCTCTGGAGGGGGAGGAAGTGTTAGCTGCACTTCTTAACTGAACCAAAGGGCTGAGGTGGGAGGGTCCCCTAGCTCAGGGCTTCAAGGGCAGCCTCAGGTCCCTCAGGGGAAGTGAGGCTGAGACAGGCTTTGCAGCCTCACTCCATTCAGGTAAGGCATCCCAGAGGCTGCAGCCCTTTCGTCAAGAACCAAAATATTCACTGCCTCAGCCCTGCTGTTGCCAAGGACTTGGATGCGTCATCAGGCACAACCGAGGCGGAGGAGCATCCAAACCAAACCGGATTTCCAGAGCCATGGGTGCCCCGCTGTGAGTCAGCTGGCAGGAAGCCGGTGGAGCCAGCCATTTTGCGCTCAGGAGCACGGCAGCAATTGCTGTCCGAGGAAGTTGCACAAGTCGCAGCAAGTACTGGCTCTGTGCATCTACGGTGCTTTCAGTGCTGCATGTCAGAGGCAGCAGTGACAGTGAGGGATGACAGAAAAATAAGCCCTTGATACCCATGGTGAGAGCCAGAAGTCCATCTCCCCACCTTTCCCAAAGCTGAGGTGCAAGGAGCAGCAAAGTGACACCCCCCTTATAACTCCCAGTAGGTCCATAAAGGTTTTGTAACACAAGGAGCCAACAGTAAGTCCTGAGGAAGCGCCAGGATCCTCAGCAGAAGTGCACAGCAAACACTGTCACAGCTGCAAGCACCTCTGGATGGCCACAAGAAAGGAGAGACAAAAAAGGACTCCTCCCTGGCCAAGGACTTTGTGAGTCAGAGCCGGGGGCAGAGGGTTATGCTGGTCACCGCACTTCATCCTGCCAACACGCAGCAGCCAGGACTGGCTTTGTGGGACCCAGCGCTGACAGGAGGCTGGGCAAAGCCCAGCAGTGCCGGGGACACAGCAGTGCTGGTCACCAGCCAGCAGACTCTGCCTTCTTCGTGGCAAGGTCTGGCTCAGGAAGGGCAGGGAGCACGGCTCCGTGGGGCAGCAGGCAGGGTGCCCAGGCACTCTGGGGCTGGGATGCTCTCCAGGGCAGCCGGAGAGCTCAGGCGCCAGAGCTCGCAGCAGGACCAGCCCAGAGGCTCACCCACAGTGATGCCCACCCGTGGGTTGACCCCTGGCACCCGAGGCGCAGGGCAGTGGGTGAAGCCACAGCTTGCTCCCGGGACTCAGCTGTGGGTCTGCAGCGCAGGGGGCTGGCAGACTGGGCGCACTCCCCCCCAGCCGGAGATGTTACCACAGGAGATGGGCAGGAACCGTGGGTATTAAAAGGGAGGAGAAGTGAGAGGGTCAGCCCAAACGCCAGTCTCCGCACACGGCAGGGTTTGGCTGGTGGCCTCCTTGTCTCGGACACGTCAGACGGGTGCAAGGGGATGCTCAAAGGAGGGAGGCTGCTGAGTGCCTGGGAGGGAGCAGCTCAGAAAAGGCTGAAGCCAGGCAGAGGCAGGGCAAGGACAGCGGGTACTCCCGTCGGCAGCTGCCCACACCTCTGGGCTCCCAGGGGAGCCCCCCCGCGAAGCTATGGGGGTCGCAGCCTGCTCCGGGGAGCGCCCCGCGGGAGCGGAGGGAGGGGGCAGCCCGGGGCCGGCACTCACCATGATGCCGCCGCTGCACGAACTG